TTAGGGGGTTGGGGTTTAGGGGTGTAGGGTTTAGGGGTTTAGGGTTTAGGGTTTAGGGTCATCGGGCACGCACTTGCCGGGAACGGGGGACCCTTGCTGCAGAAGCCAGTTGAGCATGTCAGAAGTCCTTGGAAGATCGCATCTTCGGTGTGACAGTAGTAGTCGTAGTAGTAGTAGTAGTAGTAGTAGTCGTAGTCAGCAGTAGCAGTAGCAGGAGTAGTTGGGGCATCATAAATCTTATATAGCCCTAAAGGTTGGCCTTCTGTTCCCTTAAAACATACTGGACAGGTAGGTTGAGCTGTTGGTTGCCGAGTCCGCTCCTGCCCTCTTCCTCGGGCTTTCGTACCCGACTAATTCGGTAGCACCGGCTCGGCAACAAGCCTTAAATCCCTAAACCCTAAATCCCTAAACCCTAAATCCCGAAACCCCTAAACCCCTAAACCCTAAACCCCAAATCCCTAAATCCCAAAACCCTAGATCCCTAAATCCCCAAATCCCTAAACCCTAAACCCTAAATCCCTAAACCCCTGAACCCTAAACTGCAATTTCGCATTTGCCGGGCTGAGCAGGTTGACGGTTGATGAGTATCCCTCAGCATCAAAATAGCCCCAAAAAGGCCCGTAGATAATGGGGTTTTGGGTTTAGGGTTTAGGCTTAGGGTTGGGTATTTGGGCCCCAAATTGTGAAAATATGAGTCCTTTGAGGGTAAGGGTATGAAGGCCTGAAGCTCATGTTGCCCCAACCCTAAACCCTACATGATTGTGCTATAACCTACCCCGTAGCCTGAGGCCCCTATACTAGGCTTAGGAATTCAGGATGCTCGGCCCTGCACTTCTGTCTTGGAGGGTTTGGACAATTTGCAGTAGGCTTGCAGCTTTGAAGCGGAGCCCGCTACACTATTCCACCAGTGTTTGCTCCTTGGGGATCGATCCTTGCTGTGGTTTCGAAATCTCGCCTTCTTCATGTGCTGACAGGGTTTTGGTGTTAGGGTTTAGGGGTGGTAGGGTTTAGGGCTTAGGGTTTAGGGTTTAGGACAGTAGTATAATGCCCGGACGGACAGAAACCATCTGCCAAAGCTTGTCGGAGCCGCTGCGCGACCTTACCCAGCGTTCTGTGCTCACGGTCCCTGCGGCTGATTCTTCGGCTTCTCAGGTTAGGGAGAGTCTCTTCAAATATAAGAGCTTTACTACGCATTCCGCCGTTCACGATAGATGCGACTACCTTCCTCGCAGCATATGGCTGTCCTGCAGCATGGCTTCAGTAGTTTTCGACACTTTCCCCAGGAAGTGTTGGATAGCTCCCGTCATCACAGGTAGAGAGGTCCACCGCGCCACCATGAACAGGTTCCGGATTTTCTCAGTAGCAGTACCCCAGCCGTAAGGAGAGACGGCCGCAGGTGAGACTGATAGCTGCAGACAGAACGCCAGCCTGCTGTTTCCGGCTCTGAAACTCGACTGTGAGCGCATTTTCTACGGGTAGTTTATTCGAGGTATGATAACGATATCATAAGGGTATGATATCTGAGTACAGCAACTTAGGCTGCAAGGAAAATCCTCCCGTGCTGCTGCTGCCGAATCACGAAAATTATTACTTAGGGTTCCAGATTCTAGTTAGACTATAAAGGAGCACATAAGCGTATTCCATGCATTAAGGCCCTTCTATCAGAAGCAGACTTCGACTTCAACTTGCGTGGATTGGGATTGGCTTTCATAGAAATCAGGAAGGTTCTCCCAAGATGTAGCAGGGAGGCCGCTACAGCCCAAGGCATGTCCGAAAGGGAGGATATAACCTTCGAGAACACTCTGCCATAAATCATCTACTATAGGTTATAACAAACGTCTTCATATTAGATAGCACGACATTTTTTATATGCTATACTATATAAGACAAAAGACTGGATGGTGTTTTAGTCATTTTTATGACTCCTTCATGCTATACTACCTAAGACAAACTAAGACTAGATGTTTTTGCTTCCCTAAACCCTAAACCCTAAACCCCTAAACCCTAAACCCTAAACCCTTAAGCCTAAACCTTTCTTATGGCTCATGCTGCCATGGCCCGAGCCTCTTAAAGTCGACTTGCGCGAGTTCCGAATCCATACGGCTAGCTCCAAAGAGCCGCGGTCTAGGGTGTAGGGGTTTAGGGTTTTTTGAGGTTTAGGGGATTAGGGGAGCGATTTAGGGTTTAGGGGAACAGGGGTGTAGGGGTTTAGGTTTTTTTGAGGTTTAGGGGATTAGGGGTTTAGGGTTTAGGGCCTTAGGGTTTAGAGGTTCAGGAGTTAGGGGTTTAGGGTTTAGAGGTGTTATCGAAGCATGCGAAACAAAGGCAAGATATCGTTGCGGACTCTCGTTGCACCTGAATCACTGCTCGTTTTACTATGGGGGCTGCTTCCATCGTACCAGTAGCCGCAGGCAGCGTTCGGTAGCTTGCTTTCAAACCTCTTCATCTCAACAGGTGCCGAAGAATCGCAGTGCAGTTAGTCAATATCTAGGATCTAGGACATTTTCAGGTGGGTAGTTACCTTTATAGGAGCCTTGTAGAAGGTCTATATACCTTATAGAAGCCTTACAAAGCCCAATTTGCCCTAAACTCCCCACCTGTAGTTTCCTTTAACGATACCTGGATGCAGGATGCTAGCAAACCGCCCTAAACCCTAAACCCTAAACCATCCCTAAACCCTAATCCCAGAGTTGCGTCCTTCTTAGGAACCTCTTTTCTGATACAAAGGCGGCTTCTGGAGGTCGGATTTGTACATCCATGCTTCACCTGCTGTTAGGGCGCTCCAAGGTGCTGAAGAACTGTCTTCCCTGGACACGGTTCATAGAGACTTTGAGTGGTAAGATCCGTGAATGAAGTAGCCAATCTGTTCCCGCAGGTGGAGTTAAGCCATAGGTCTAGGACATTTTCAGGTGGGTAGTTGCCGTTTTTGGAGCCTTATAGAAGGTCCATATACCTTATAGAAGCCTCATAGAAGCCTTACACACCCTAAACTCCCCACCTGTAGTTTCCTTTAACTAGACCCTAAACCCTAAACCCTAAATCCTAAACCCCCAGACCCTAAACCCTAAACTCTAAACCCTAAATCCTAAAGCCCAAAGCCCTAAACCCCCAAACCCTAAAACCCTTCTTGTGTGAACCACCGCCTTGAAGTTGGTTTCGCCACGGTCAACACCTTCAGAGCTCGGGTTTTCGGATCCTAGGTCCCTGAGTGGTACCCTTTTGCCCTTTGTATTTTAGGGCTTTTAAAAACGAAGAGGGTTTTTTTTTAAAAAAAAGGGTTTTGAAAAACAGAAGAGGGTTTTTAAAAACCCTTACTAAAACCGAATGGTAGGAAAAGGGGTACCCTTATTATAAAACTTAAGAGGCTACTCAGGAACCATGATCAATTTCCTGGGTCCGAGGCGCTGCTCCTTCGTCACCGTTCTGCTGCCACGCTCTCAATGCGATGACGAGGGTGGAAGCACAGGTGTGGGGTTCACGGGTAGCTATAAGTGGGGTTATAAGCCCCGTAATATGCGGTATACCGTACTTATCACCCCACTTATAACTACCCCTAAACCCTAAGCCTTAAAAACCCTATGGAACCCTCTAAAGGAACCCTTTAAAAGGAACCCCATAACCCCACTTATAGCTACTCATGGAACCTCCAAGTGGGGTTCAGGCTTTTGGGGTTTGGTCTTTTCTCGATGGCAAAGGCCAACCTAGAGCTTTCAAGCCGGAGTTGGAGCCGTTATGGCCCCTATGTGTAATAATGTACTATGCCATACTATGACCTAAAAACTACTTTTTACTATGTAATAATACACTCTACTATGCTGTACGATGACCTAGAAACTACATCTTACTCATTACTTTTTTTAATATTCGCAGCCTTTATGGCCCCAAGAGTAGTAGGGTAGGTAAGAGCGAACCGGAGCTACTACAGTCTCGATATAATCCCAACGGTTATGGACCCTTAGTTGTCCTGGGAACGAAGCCGCGATCAATGCCCCTGCATGGATGACGGCGAGCTCGCTGCCGACTGCCTCCCCGGCGTTGCGACCGAGGAGGCTTCGCCAGCCCGGTGATCCAGTAAATGTTGGCTAGTAGCAGAGAGACCCCTTAGAGGGGACCCTTCTGAACCCTTCTTATGGCTCTCCTTGAAAGGGACCTTTTGAGAGGGTCTATATCCCCAAGGGTACCCCTAATCCTATCTCCTAGTAAAAGGTGTACGAGTGCTTAGGGCTTGAGGTCGCACTATTCAGGCCATCTGTTCAGAAACGTGCATTTTGATCTTTTGCAGTTTCTGCACACTCGTCGTGGCGCCATGCAAGTGATCGAAGCATTGCTAACATGTTTGTCTTGGAGCTGTGTTCATCTTTAAGCTTCTATTTGTGTCCTTGCAACATCAACATGCTTGGCTCCTAAACCCTTACCCTCAACCCCAAGCCCTTAAACCTTAAACCCTAAACCCTTACTCTTAATCCCCAAGCCCTTAAACCCTAAACCCTAAAGCCCTTACCCTTAACCCCAAGCCCTCAAAACCCTAAACTCAGAACCCTAAAACCCTAGACCCTAAACCCTACAAGCCCTAATCCCTAAAGAGCCCTAAATGAAGCAGCATCAGTTAAACCGTTCTTCCTTTCCTGCGCCAGGTCCGCTGCGGCCGTGACCTGGGCATACCCTGGAAGGTCTGGCGGGAGAAGCCGAAGTTGGCCCGAGCATTCTGCAACTGGGCTCTTGTTAGGGGATTTTGTTTGAGTTACCATAACAGGGTTCAGTTTAGGGTTCAGGGTTTAGGATTCTTGTCAGGGGATTTGTTTAAGTTGCCATAACAGGGATCTGTAGTAAACAATATGGTTTCCTTATTATGGTAACTTAATTATAAGTTAAAGGAACTATGTAACTAAATGTAACTAATATGGTTTCCTTACTATGGTAACTTAAAAATTAGATCCCCTACCAAGAGCCCAGGCAAGGTGGAGGGCTCGGAGGATTTCTTGCGGCTTCTGCGGAGGAAGCTGGTGGAGACGGACATCTACCACCACTCTGCGGCTGTTCAAGCAACCGGCCGGCAGCGAAAGTGGCAGAAGGCCGTGGATCCCTGAACCGTAGAACCCTAAACCCCTAAACTCCCTAAACTCCCAAACCCCTGCAACCCCTATACCCTAGACCCCTAAACCCCTAAACCCTAAACCCTAAAAACCCTAAACCCAAAGCCCCTGAACCCTAAGCAGAAGGCCGTGGATCTGCTTCGCAGTGTCCCGGAAGTCGCCCTTCATCCCAGTCCGGTTAGCTACTCGGTGTTTTAGTATTCTAGGGGTTTCAGGGATTTATGGTTTTAGGGCTTTAGGGCTTTAGGCTTTAGGGTATTAGGGTTTAGGGCTTTCCGGTTAGCTACTCGGGGGCCTCTGGGGACATTTTAGATTTTTCCCCCTTACTGAGCCTAGGAGGATCCTGCTTACGATTTGCTTGTTCCTTTGATATGAAGGGCCAACACCCAAACCCTAAAACCCTAAAGCCCTAAAGCCCTAAACCCTAAAACCCTAAGAAACTAAAACCCCAAAACCCGAAAACCCGAATCCCTAAAACCCTAAAGCCCTAAAGCCTTAAAAACCCTAAACCTAGGCTACAGCAATGGCCTCAACGCATCCTCCGACCAGTGGGCCTTGGCAGTGTGCCTAGGTTTTTTTCAGTGGGCCCTTCTTCCCTGTTTTTGTTTTAAGGCTTAGGGTCTATAGGGCTTAGGGTTTAGGGTTTAGTGTTTTAGGGTTTAGGGTTTAGGGTGTAGGGTTTTACGGTTTAGCGTTTAGGGTTTTACGGTTTTAGGGTTTAGGGTTTTAGGGTTTAGGGTTTTAGGGTTTTAGGGTTTAGGGTTCAGGGTTGAGCCCTTCTTCCCTTTTTTTGAAGGCTTAGTAGGGTTTTCCCGATTCTATATTTAATACTTTTTTTGCCTTTCTAAAGTCTCAGGATTTAGGGTTTAGGGTTTAGGGTTCCTTATAAAGGTACTCAATACCCAAAAAAAGGGGGAGCCTGACCCTTAATCCTAGGCTTTTCGGCCTCTTAGGTGCCTCTTGCGGAGCATGCGAGGTCGCTTGGTGGAGGCTGATGCTTTCATTTATGGAGCTGCCAGCAACTTGTAGAGGAGCACACGAACAATTTTTGCCTGGATTCTTGTTTTTTTTTGGGGGGGTACTTACTATACTCTCCATGTCTTATCATGTATTATCCCAAAGCTTAGCTTAACTTTCAATTCCACTAGGATGCTGGGCAAGTAAGGCAATGCTTGTGAGAAATGCGGTGCTTGGCAGACGGCCTTGGGCTTCACGTCGCAGTTGTCGGAGCAAGAGGTCCTTCCCAACGTCGTCACTTCTAGCAGTGCCCTCTGTGCATGCAGAGAAGGACATCAGTGGCTCCAATGCCCAACCTTTAAACCTTTTTGGGGTTCTTATAATGTAGTAGTAATCAGAAAGTTTAACCTTTTATTTCGTGGCTTCTTGGGGAAATAAGAGGACATCAATGGCTCCTTGCTGTGGAGCTGCTCGGAGACCTACGGCTTTGGGGCATCGAACTGGATGTGGTGGCTCATGGCAGTGTGGTCGGAGCGTGCAAGGCAGCATGGGAACAGGCATTCTTTCTCCATCATGAGCCACTAGGCGACGCGCGCCTGACACGGAATATCATCAGCTACAGTGCATTGCTCCAGTCATGCAGTGAATGTTCGGAGTGGTCTCAGAGCCTGCACATCCTCCGCTCCCTGAAGACCACTGCAAGTCGGCCCGACACGGTTGCTTTAACTTCTGTTATCAGCGCGTTTGAAGCCGAAGGAAGATGGAAGCAAGCATTCCAGGTTTCTTGCGGCATAGCAGAGGCGGGGCTCCAGCGCGACCTCCTGAGCCTTGCGGCAACATGCGCTTCAATCTCAGCTCATTGGGCAAAGGCCTTGACGCTCCACAGTGACTGGCATTTGGAGGATCCGGACCAGGCTCTGTTGTTCAGTGTGCTTAACGTTTGCAAGAGGACTGGCCAGTGGCAGGTGGCTCTGGGATTCTGGGCGAAGGCCCCACGAGAGAAGGCTCTGGGACTCACGAACCTTGTAATCGGCGCCTGTGGGGCTCTTGGCGCGTGGCAAGTAGCTTGCTGCTTCTTGAACTGGATGTTGGATGAGGACAAACATAGCCTGGACATCGTGACTTGCACGAGCATCCTAAGCGTTTGCGAAGGCAGGGGCCGCTGGCAGCAGGTTCTGTGGACATTGGAGCTCATGCCAAAGGTCCGTGTGGTGGCGAACCAGATCCTTAGTAGCTGAGTAGGTAACCTTTAACTTGTTTGGGTGTTTATACAGGGGTAGTTCTCTAAATTAGGGTTCCTTTTTCAGCTCCCAATATAGTACGGCGCGCTTACAAAAAAAGGACCCCAAAAGGGACCCTAATTGAGAGAACTACCCATGTAATCCCACCGATTTGAAAAGTTTAATTACCCTTTTTTTGGGCTAGGGTTCTCAGCC